TTTTTGACGGTTCAACAACTTTTGACACACACAGCGCGTGGGTGGTTGCGGGTCGGGTGGGGGGGGTTGGGGGGAGCACAAAAGAAAGACACTTAAAAAGCAATTGGCAATTGGCGATTGGCATACGACAAAAACATAAAAATAGAAACAAAACCAAAACCGAAAAAAAATAAAGTACCCAAAAGGCAACAACAACAAATGCCAAATGCAAATAAAATACCAAAAGAGAAAAAAAAAAAACAAAAAGGCACAAAAAAAGCCCAAAATAGAAACCAAAACCAAAGCAATTAAATTTGTTCAAATCGATTTAAGCTGACAATAGACGGCAGCAGCAGCAGCAGCAGTAGCAGCAGACCTATGCAAGGGCTAAGCGCTCTCTGTAGGAGGAGGGGGGGGAATCGGGGGGGCTGCCCATAGGGCGTATGGGCGTGACACTCTATATAGCAATTACAACCGCAAATGGCAATAAAATGACAGAGTAAAATGTAACAACCGTTACACTGAATTGCGGACGGCAAAGAGAGAGAGAGAGAGAGGGAGAGAGGGAGACAGCAAAGCAGCAAGGCGGCTATTGTGGGCGTGTTCTCAGAGCACATGGCAAGCAGATCGACTGGAGCGACTGGTCGCTAGAGGGCGCCACAAACAATATACAAATTGGGACATTAGCAGACTGTGGCAACCCCAAAAATCGTTATCGCAAATTGTCGCCACAATTAAGAGGGGGGCAGGCTGCAAGAAAGGTGTCAACGGTAAGGGGGTCGGTGGGGGGGGGGGGGGGGGGGGTTGGTAGCGATATAAACTGTGCACAGGATAAGCAGCAGAGGGGCGTGGTGCCGCCAGTGTTGCCGGATAGTAAAGTTAAAGCCATTTAATAAGCATGCACAGAGAAAAGGCACTCGAATAAGGTAAATATTTAAAGATAAGCAGCGAGATCTGCCTGCCCCCCCCCCCCTTACCCCTGCCCCCACCTCTGCTCTATCTATCGAACTCTCTTTGAATGCTTTGAGATATCATTTGATTGTTTTTATTACACTCTGTGGGGCTTGTCAGTGGGAAGGGAGGGGTGTGGGGCGAGGGGCTGCACGCTGTCAGAATGCAAGAGCTCTAACAAACGGGAGAGAGAGAGAGAGAGAGAGAGAGAGAGAGAGAGATCTGAAAAATGTAAAGGGAATACGCGAAAGCCCATTGAGCAAATATTTAACAAAGCGCAAAATTGCAGCATTTTTCTTTTATTTGCATATTTAATTTGTTTTGAGGTTTTTTGCGCTGGCTCTCGCCCGCCCCCCGCTCCCCGCCCGCCCCTGCTCCCCGCTCCACCAATCCGACGCTCAACCGAAAAAAGCGCTGAAACAGCTACAAAAACAACAACAACAACCATGAAAACTGACTGGAAAAACGATTGAAAACTCTGCAAAAATAAAAAAAAGAGTGCACGACTGCCAAATGCTCTACAATATGATATTGATTCGCAGCTGAAATCATTTTCAGATATTCTTTTTTGTAAAGAAATTATCCCAGCCCAAAAGTTATCCATATCCATATCCTAGATCGCATATCATATCATGACTTATGCTCAGATGAGTTCCTAAACGATTGCAAATAGTGTGAAAACTTCTAGAAAGTATCGCAAATATCTCCCTAAATCTCTTGCATTTTAAAAACAGCGAAAAGTTGTCAATTAAGCTCACATTATAATCATACGATTCATATATGATTCACAATATGATTCATATATGATTCATATTATGATTCAATTATTCTCATGTTTGAAATATAACTAATACTCAACTTTAATCCAATTCAGCTCACATTATAATCATACGATTCATATATGATTCATAATATGATACATATATGATTTATTATATGATTCATAATATGATTCATCTAGCTAATTCTCAACTTTGATGCAATTCAGCTCACATTATAATCATACGATTCATATATGATTCACAATATGATTCATATACGATTCATATTATGATTCAATTATTCTAATGTTTGAAATATAACTCAACTTTGATCCAATTCAGCTCACATTATAATCATACGGTTCAGATATGATTCACAATATGATTCATATACGATTCATATTATAATTCAATTATTCTCATGTTTGAAATATAACTAATACTCAACTTTGATCCAATTCAGCTCACATTATAATCATATAACTCATATATGATTCATAATATGATACATATATGATTTATTATATGATTCATAAATGATTCATAATATGCTTCATCTAGCTAATTCTCAACTTTGATCCAATTCAGCTCACATTATAATCATACGGTTCAGATATGATTCACAATATGATTCATATACGATTCATATTATGATTCAATTATTCTAATGTTTGAAATATAACTCAACTTTGATCCAATTCAGCTCACATTATAATCATACGGTTCAGATATGATTCACAATATGATTCATATACGATTCATATTATAATTCAATTATTCTCATGTTTGAAATATAACTAATACTCAACTTTGATCCAATTCAGCTCACATTATAATCATATAACTCATATATGATTCATAATATGATACATATATGATTTATTATATGATTCATAAATGATTCATAATATGCTTCATCTAGCTAATTCTCAACTTTGATCCAATTCAGCTCACATTATAATCATACGGTTCAGATATGATTCACAATATGATTCATATACGATTCATATTATGATTCAATTATTCTCATGTTTGAAATATAACTAATACTCAACTTTAATCCAATTCAGCTCACATTATAATCATACGGTTCATATATGATTCACAATATGATTCATATACGATTCATATTATGATTCAATTATTCTAATGTTTGAAATATAACTCAACTTTGATCCAATTCAGCTCACATTATAATCATACGATTCATATATGATTCATAATATGATACATATATGATTTATTATATGATTCATAAATGATTCATAATATGCTTCATCTAGCTAATTCTCAACTTTGATCCAATTCAGCTCACATTATAATCATACGATTCATATATGATGCATAATATGATTTATATATGATTCATAATATGATTCAATTGTTCCTTTTAATTGTTTAAAGACTTCAAATCTAGCTAAATTCAATGTAAAACCCAATCTAAACTCAAACGAACCAGTTCATGTTCATCTGCCAGTTGTATAAAACCAGTTCATGGACCGAACTTTAAGGCAAAGCCATTCGAACTGTGAACCAAACCAACAAATTTAAACTTTGTTGTTGTGCGAGCTTTAAAACAAAACCCCAAAATAACAAAAATTCCGAAATAGATGGGCAAAGAGCAAAGCCTCGAAATGTTGGTCAGTGGAACCGCAAGTTGCATTTGTTGGCAGCGTTTACCAACACTGCCACTCGGTCTGCTGCCGTTGCAACTGCAATTGTTATTAATAAATAATTCATAAACAATTTGTTGGCACTTTTCATATTGTTTGCACATTTGAGCTGTTTAATTAAGGCCAAACTGACAAAATGGAAAGTAGAAGCCAGAAGCTAGAAGAAGAAGCTGAAGTGGGTCGACGGTTCGCAGATTGTTCGTGCCATGTTCACACTTTGACCCCAAAATAGAGAGGGGGGAGGGGCGGCGGGGGGAGCGCACAGAAAAGGCGGCCGCCCATTCAATTTGAAGGTTAAACTTCGCAATGCTCTGTGCCGCCCAGCAGGTGGGCGTGGCGGGGGCGGGCAGGGGGACAGTCAGGCACCGCAAAGTGTCACACTTTAACGGCATTTTCATTAATCAAGTCGCAAAACACGCTGACCCCTTCCCCTCCCCCCCCCCCTCCCCCCTTCACACGGCATTCCCCTTTTCCAACCAAGCCAGAAGCGAACTTTCATCCTTTGTCTTTCACTTTGCTTGAAACCTGCGGTCTTTTGTGCTCTTCCTTTTGCCCTTTCCTTTCGCCCGCTCCTCCTTCGTCTTCTTCTTCTTCTTCTGTTCGTCGTAGTTGTTTTTTTGTTTGTCGTTCCGCGGTTTTGCTTTGTCTCTGCCGCACTCTGAACATCATTTACTGCTCCGCATGTGACATTAATTGAATAACGTAATGAATAACGTAATGAAGCACGTAAACTGTCTTAATGACAATTGTCACAATTAATCAAGTGACAAAGGTGCGAGGTAAGCACTGGAAATGACTTTAGCTATGCACGCAGTGTATGTGACGTAATAAGATAAGCAGCGTAATATGACGTAACTGCAGGACACTGCTTTAACCAAACGACGTGCATATCTTATGTTATGTTGTGCTTCATTAAGCGTCAATACGTATGACGTCAATACGTGATAAACACCTGTTGCTTAACATCTGATCTAACGTTACGTAAGTGTAAAAAAGTTTGACCGAATTTGTTGAAGGCAATCTGCTCCTCACTACGCTACGCTAGCAGCAGGTTTGGGTAGATAATATTTAAGTTACGTTACGTAACGTAACGAGTGTAACATTTGTAATATACCTGAAGCTAGTCAAAAAAGCATTTTAATGGGGTAACAGTAATGCGAGATGATACGTAAGAGCCTAAAAAATCATTTGCTACGTATCACGCACAATTACGTTTACAGAGTTTCCTAAGTGAGCATACGTTGACGCACAATTTGCTTAACACGAGCTTTAATTACTGAACAGCTCGCGTTGACAGCCCAACGACGTAACGCGGCGACCTCATTACGTAGTTGTGCAGAAATTAATTGCGCGTTTGTAACTCGCCCGCTGCCATTTACTTTGTGAATGATTTGTTACTGTTGTCAGCGCCAAGTTGAAAGCCTTTCTCCTATTTGTTTTTTGTTTGTTCCCCATTTGATTTTTTGCTGGTCGCTTTGTCGCTTTTTTAATTGTGCAGCTGTTACCGTTAAAGCAGCCGCTGCGACCTTTACGCACATTTAATCTACATCTTAATGGCATGCAAATATCTCCCTCTCTCTCTCCCACTCACACACGCTGTTAAGCAACCTTCACTAATCCGCGCATTTCTTTTCAGCTGGCAACTGCACTGCTAATTGCGAGCTTGGAGCCAACCCACAAGAAAAACAACGACAACAATAAGAAGGAGGAGGAGGAGAGCATATAAAAAAAAGAAAAGAGGGTGCGCCTTAATTAATCACAGTCTTGTCTGTCACGAGCAGCAACAAGAAGAACACAAAGGAGAGCTTAAAATCAAATTAAGAGAGTCGCCAAAGAGCGCGCGCGCACGCACGCAGCGCCCTCTAGCGGCAAACAGCAGCAGCAAGGTCAACGTATAAGACGATACAAGCCAAGGGGAGATCAGTATAAGACGTTAAACAGCAACCCAGCAACCAGCAGCATAACAGTATAAGAACTAACAGCATTCTCTTAACATGGCAGCGACAATGTTACGGCTGCTGTTAGCGAGCCTCGTGCTGCTGCTTGTGATGCTGGCGCAGGAGTCGCTCGGCCACCGGGATTGGATGCAGAACTGCAGCAATTGCCATTGCCATTGGAATTCGGGCAAGAAGAGCGCCGACTGCAAGGGTAAAAAGCTAACAAAAATACCGCTAGAGATGAGCAACGAGATGCAGGTGGTGGACTTCTCCCAGAACCAAATACCCGAACTGAGGCGCGACGAGTTCCAGGTGGCGGGCCTGCAGAATTTGCACAAGATCTACCTGCGCAACTGCACCATACAGGAGGTGAATCGCGATGCGTTCAAGGGTCTGGCCATACTCATCGAACTGGACATGTCCAGCAATCGGATCAGCCAGCTGCATCCGAACACGTTCGAGGGCCTCGAGAAGCTGCGCAATGTGATCATCAACAACAACGAGATCGAGATACTGGAGAGCCGGCTGTTCATCAATTTGCCCTTCCTATCGCGCGTCGAGTTCAACAACAATCGACTGAAACAGGTGCAGCTGAACGTGTTCGGCGGACCGCTGACCGCCATTTCGCTGGAGCAGAACCAGCTGACCCATCTGCACAAGGAGACGTTCGACAACCTGCCCAAGCTGACCTACCTGTCGCTGCAGGGCAACGCGTGGAACTGCAGCTGCGATCTGCAGCAGTTCCGCGACTTCGCCATGGCCAAGCGCCTCTATACGCCGCCCACCGACTGCCGTGAGCCGGCCCAGCTGCGCGGCAAGCTGTGGAGCGAGGTGCCCTCCGAGAACTTTGCCTGTCGTCCGCGCATTATCGGCTCGGTGCGCTCCTTTGTCGAGGCTAATCACGACAACGTTACGCTGCCCTGTCGCATTGTCGGCACACCCCGTCCGAATGTCACCTGGATCTACAATAAGCGCCAACTGAATCCCAATCCCAACGATCATCACATACGCATTCTCAACTCCGTCGAGCAGCAGCAGCAGTCGGAGTCCGGCCAGATCATGACGTCGGAGCTGCGCATCTACGGGGTCCGCAACTCGGACAAGGGCGCCTACATCTGTGTCGCCGACAATCGGGGCGGCAAGGCGGAGGCCGAGTTCCAGCTGCTGGTCAACGGTGACTATATGGGCGCCTCATCCGGCTCGGACGGAATGGGTGGTCTGGGCATAAGTGGTGCCATCGGCGCCTCCACCAGCGATCCGCAGACGAGCATATTCCTGGTCATTTGCGTGATTGTGACCACATTTCTGGTGCTGCTCATCTTTCTGGTGCTGACGCTCTTCTGGTACTGCCGCCGCGTCAAGACCTACCAGAAGGACAACACCATGATGAGCGGCGATGGCTTGATCTCCTGCAAGCTGGACAAGACCCACAACAGCTCCATGCTGGAGGGCTCCGTCATTATGGAGATGCAGAAGAGCCTGCTCAACGAGGTGAATCCCGTCGAGAAGCCGCCCCGTCGCACCGACATCGAGAGCGTCGACGGCGGCGACGATAACCACGAGATCAAGAAGACCCTCTTGGATGAGACTGCCTACGGTAAGTGAAAGAAACTTCAAATTAGATAAGTCATTGGGTGCAGAGGAATAGGCAATGGCAGAACAGAGTGGCAGAGTAGTTATCCTCCAACTGTAGCTCATAATTAAAGAGATAAGTTGAGATAGATGCAAACCAAGAGAAGTGAAAGAAACTTGAAATAAGATAAGTTATTGAAGGAAAGCAACAGTAACAAATCAGCGGAATATAAAGACCACAGAAAATCGAAATTTCTCCTTAATAGAAGAAAAAAAAACGAAAGAATCTTGAGATTAGATAAGTTATTAAGAAAGAGGAGAAAAGCTGGCCCCAATTTGCAAAGAATTTGCTGCAACTGAAGCTCACATTTAAAGAGATAAGTTAAGATGGATGAAAGCGAAAGGAACTAGAGAGATAAGTTATTGGCGGAAAGGAATAGGGAATTTCTATGTAACGCATCAGAGGAATAGGAAGAGCAAAGAAAAAGAGAAGTTCTCGTCAATGGAAGAAAAAAGCGACAGAATCTTGGAATTATCTAAGTTATTGATGAAAGGAATAGGGAATACCTATGCATTAGAGGAACAGGAAGAGCAGAGTAGAAGAGAAGTTGCTCTCCAACTGTAGCTCATATTTAAAGAGATAAGTTTAGATAGATGGAAGTGACGAAAGCAGTGAAAGAAACATGAACAAATCTGAGGAATAGGAAAATCGCATAAAGAGGAAATTTCTCCTTGATAAAAGAAAAAAAAAGAGAAAATCTTGGAATTAGATAAGTTATTGAGGAAAGGAATCGGGAATTTCTATGCAAAATAACGGAAGAATCTTGAGATTAGATAAGTTATTTGAGAAAGGGATTAGGGAACTCAGATGTAACGACTCAGAGGAATCGGAAGAACAAAGGAAAAGAGAAGTTCTGCTCACAAGAGGAAAAAACCAAAAGTTATTAAGGAATTTCGATGCAACACAGAAGAAGAGAAAAGCTGGCCTCAATCGAAAAGGATTTGCTCCAACCGAAGCTCCCATTAAAGAAGATAACTAAGATAGACGAAAACGCAAGGAAGTGAAAGAAACTTGAGATAAGTTATTTGAGGAAACGAATATGGAATTCCTTTGTTCCGAAGAAGGAAATTTCTCCTCAATAGAAACATTTTCGACTCGCATATAAAATGCTGTTCTCAATGCTTTAGAAGTGAGAAGTTTTTTAATCGAATAGCCTTGCAATCGATAGTATCGATAAACAACTATCGATGGGAAAGCGCACAGTCTTGAAGGAGGGGAATACCCTTACCCGAGATAGAAATGTGTAGATATATCTAGATAGAGTAGAGGGGAGAGTGAGGGAAAAAGAGAGATAGAGATAAATGCAGAGAGAGAGAGAGAGAGAGAGAGAGAGAGAGAGAGAGAGAGAGAGAGAGAGAGAGAGAGAGAGAGAGTGTACATTAAATTGAAAATGGCGGCGCGGCTCTTCGGCTTCGGTTTGTCCATTCACAATGGACACGCGACATGTTGTCTGCTCAGCTGTGTGTGTGTGTGTGTGTGTGTGTGTGTGTTAGTCGAGTGTGTTTGTGGAAATTGCACAGTTGATCTATTTGTCGAATATTTCCAGTTGAGTGCAGCAGCAGTTCGACAATTTAGCTTCGCATTTTTTGCAGCAACATCAATGCCAATACACACACGCACACACACACACACACGCACACACACGCACACACACACACACGCATACACACAACTAGATTTGTATAGACAGACATTGAGATACATTTGTATCTATTACTTCCGCTGCATTTGGCAACATTGGCCGCCAGCTCTGGTAAACACAAACGCAAACAGACAACCGAACAACCCAAAACAAGCAGCAACAACAGCAACAACAACAGCAACAGCAACAACAACATTGACAACAACAACAACAACAAGATGGACAACAATTTGGCGGATGTTTGCTTTAATTTTGCAATTGGCAATTGAATTGCAATGACAATTGAAAAACCAATTGAATGCAATTGATGCACTCCCAAAACTCGTTGTTGTTGTTGTCGCTATTGTTGTCGTTGTTGTTGTTGTTGTTGTTGTTGTTGTTGCTCAGATTTGTCGAAAAACAATCACAAATGGCATGTGCCAAAAAGCGCCACGGCAGGCAACCGCAATCGATGCGCATTTATCGAACAACTGAAATCAGCATGAAAAATGTGCTGCCAAAGTAAGGTATAAATTCAGGGCATGCTCTCAAAATTCAACATCATTTAGTTCAGAGCAGCTAGCCAAGCTAATTGTGAGCCTCTAGCTGAATAACAGAACTGGGCATTTTTGTATTTGAAAAAGCTGTGAAAAAGTAAGGCAAGAAATCAGGCACTCAACTAAAAGTTAGGCAAAGTTGTGTTAAACTAAAGGGAATTTACAAAAATTAAGCTACATTTTCGATTGGATACACGAGTAATTTAATTTAGTTGAAGCTTACTTTAGCTATGGGAAAAAGGGTAAGGGTATTCCCTAGAGGAACTTTGGCAAAAGTCAGTTCAAGTTGTTCAAAAGTAAAGGAATCATTCAGGGCCTATTAAAAAAAACTCAACTAAATTACTTATGACGAGTAATTTGGTTTAATTATTTAGGGATAGTAGGTAGGTAGATAGTAAAAGTAGGGGTATTCCGTTTAGGAACTTTACTCACAAAGTAATGCAAATTGAAATTGAAGTCAGATGAAGTTATGAAAATGCAATAATGCCGAATATAATTCTGTGAATAGTTAAATGGGCAAAAGCTAAAAAAATTTAAGGAAAAAGTAAGGGTATTCCGTTCAGGAACTTTAAAAGAAAAATGGAACATTTTCTGTGAATAGTTTGGTAAAATAAACAAATGCGTGAAAAATGTTATGATAAAGTAAGGGAGTTATTCAGCACCTAAATAATTTTCGTATACGTTAGTGTAAAAGTAAGGGCATTCCCTTCAGCAACTTTACTCAAAGTGTAATAAATGAAATCAGATAAAGTTGCGATAAAGTTGTGTAGAAGAAAGAGATTAACTTTGTGAATAGTTCAGTAAAAGCGTGATAAATGTTGTGAGAAGGTAAGCGAATTATTCAGGCACAATTCCATAAATATTATGATAGTTAGCAAACAGGAAAAAGTAGGGGTATTCCCTTCAGTAGCCCAACGAAAACGCAGATAAGTTGGCGAAAGGGAAAGGATTATGATTTGGGGCTTATTCATGGGCTAATTACATACAAAAAAAAAAAAAAAAAATTTCCTAGCTTTTAGCTGAATATAAAAATTGAGAAATTTTTATTTTCAGAATTGAATCATATTTAGATGCCAAAACAAAAATAGAGAACACAGCAAAAACCCAAAGAAAAAGGTATATACCGCATGAAAATTGACAACAACAACAACAACAACAAAATTATATCTAGAGAAATATCAAAAGATGAAGAAGAAGAGGTCTAATATTTTCGAGCTTTATTTATTTATTTGTTTAGATAAAAAACTTATTAGTCAATGTCTTAAGCGAGTCTAGAGTCTGGTTTCCATATTGGGTTGATTTTAGAAGATTTATGTTTCTTTTTTTAAGTACAGTGTTCACTCGTCAACGCGAACATCTAGAGAGTACGTCCTCCGGTCTAGAGTACGTATTTAATACTCAGTTAATTTCTTTCCTTAGTTCTATTATTCATTTTGTGTTTCGCATTTTCGAATATTATGTTTTTTTTATGATTTTTATCGGTTGGGAAAATATTGAAGGGTATTCCCCATTAGTTCGAACCAGCGACTTTTTCTTTGGCACTTTTTCGAGGTTGAGAAAAGGGCGAGCGAGGCGAGTTGTTCAACAAAATGAAAAGAAATCAAAAAAAAAAAGAGAGTTAGGAAAAGCAGGAACTGAACTGAAACGGAAAATTGTAAGTTGAAAGTTGTAGGAAAATGCAATCTAGTAAGGAAAAGCTGGGAAAATTGGATCAGCTTGGGGCCACAACTTGAACTGTTATTTTTCTATTGGTCTATGCAATTTGGCTTGCTTCAACTAATTATGATTATTCCTTTTTTTGCTCTCCCCCCCCCCTATTCCCCCCCTCTCCACCGGCGCATGCAGCCAATCACACGCGAGACGATGAGACGCACTCTGTGGCCCTGTCGGATACAACAATTACGCCCCGTTCCCGTCACACCTACGTTGATGATACGTACGGGAATAGCCTGCCGCCGGATTTGCTGGCGTTTCCCGCCCGCGTGCCGCCCACCTCGCCATCGATGCAGTCCTCGCAGTCGAACATACCCGATCAGATCATCTACGGTATACGCTCCCCGCCGCCGCCGCTCACCAGCCCCGTTTACGCGCACATGACGCCGCACGGCATCTACGGCACCACAACGATCGCAACGGCCAACCACAACGGCTTCATGACCCTGCAGCATCCCAAGACCCGCAACCTGGCGCTGATTGCCACCGCCAACAGTCGCCACCAGCAGCAGCAACAATTGGCCGCCGCCTTCCAACAGCAGCAGCAGCAGCAGCAACAGCAGCTGGGATCGTCGTCGTCGTCGTCGGCATCGCCGTTTCTGCCCGCGCCCGTTGTTTACTCGCCGGCCTCGGCCGTGGTCATGAAGCAGGGCTATATGACGATTCCGCGCAAGCCGCGCGTGCCCAGCTGGGCGCCGAGCACCTCGAATGCGGCAGCAGCCGCCGCCCAGCTGCAGCAGCTCGGCGAATTTCAATCGCCAACGTCGCCCAATCCCAGCGAGACAGGAACCGCGACCACCGTCGAGCTGCAGGCGGAGCCTGTCTACGATAACTTGGGGCTGCGCACCACGGCCGGCGGCAATTCGACTCTCAATCTGCACAAGGCACAGAGCGCACAGGCTGCACTGGGCGGACAGGGCGGCGGCAACGGGGGGCAGCAGTACAGCATGCGGGATCGCCCGCTGCCAGCCACGCCAAGTCTGACATCGGTGGCATCAACATCGGCATCAACATCGGCATCGGCATCGGTGGGCAACGCCAGCAAGATCTACGAGCCAATACACGAGCTCATCCAGCAGCAGCAGGCCATGCAGGCCGCACAACAGCAACAGCAACAGGCACAACAGCAGCAGCAGCAACAGCAACAGCAGCATTTGTACAACTCGGAGACGGAGCCGCTGTACGGCGGCAGGCTGCACGGGATTACGATATTGCCCGGCTCGAGCATTAGCGGCGCCGGCCTTGGCTCGCCCTCCTCGACGCTGGGCGGAGCTGGTGGCTCGCCGACGCCCATGGCCATGCCGGGCGGGGAGTCGCCAAAAATGGCCAAGATACCGCCAAGGCCGCCGCCGAAGCCCAAAAAGAAAATGTCCGTAACGGCAACGCGCAGCGGCCAGGGCAGCACAAGCCAGCTGTTCGACGACGAGGGCGAGGATGGCACCGAGGTTTAGTTTACCAAATATTTGCGCAGAATCCACTCAAAATGCAATCGCAAATTAATTCAAATTGCCTTTTTAGCAGCAACAGCAGCAGCAACAGCAGCAGAACATGAAGATGAAGTTGAAAAGCAGGTTGATAAGGAAGATGAGGAGCACGAGCAAACAGTAGCAGCAGCAGCAAGGGGTAAAGCAGATGATGAAGAGGAGCATTAACAACAACGACAACAGCAATAACAGTAACAGCAACACACAACAGAGAGCAGTTAACAGATAACAGCTAACAGCTAACAGCTGGCAGCTAACAGCAATGCACAGCTGGCAACGTTCAACGGCAAACGCTGTTAACTACAAAGCTCGAATCACTTCAACAGCAGCTTCTGTCAAAGAACAACAGCTGTTAGTTGACATAGACCAACAAATGTTAAGACAATGCGTGCAACTCTCTTAACAGAATGTTAAACAGCAGCAGCAGCTCGCAAAAACAAAACCACATCCAAGATACCCAGATCAGCATACGCTGTTAACTTAATGCCGCTTATGTTAATTAACATAATCCAACAAATGCATGCACATTTGACATTCGCTATTAACTGAATGTTAAACAACAGCAACAATTTACATAAGCAATGACAGCTCTTCCGGCAAAAGCAGCTTACGCTGTTAACTTAATGCCGCTTATGTTAATTAACATAATCCAACAAATGTTAAGTCTATGCATGCACATTTGACATTCGCTGTTAACTGAATGTTAAACAACAGCAGCAGTTTACATAAACAATGACAGCTCTTCCGGCAAAAGCAGCTTACGCTGTTAACTTAATGCCGCTTATGTTAATTAAGATAATCCAACAAATGTTAAGTCTATGCATGCACATTTGACATTCGCTGTTAACTGAATGTTAAACAACAACAGCAGCAGCTCGCACTTCACATCTGGCAAGTTCAGCATACGCTGTTAATAAAATGCTGCTGTAGTCCTTCTGTTAATTAACATAAAACAACAAATGTTAAGACAATGCAAGCACATTTGACATCCGCTGTTAACTAAATATTAAGCAACAGCAGCAGCAGCTAGTTAAAAGTGGCAGCTGCTGCTCTGACACTCTCTCTCTCTCTCTCAGTCTCTCGCTCTCTCCTGTCACTGTCACTGTCTCTGTCTCTGTCTCTCGCCCGCGCAATTCGCGTGACTTGTGTGCCAAACCGACTGATGTAGAATTTAGAATTAAAACGAGGAACGATACGAAATGAAAACTGAAACAGAACTAGAAAGAGAAACAGAAAGAGAAACAGAAACAGAAAGAGAAACAAAAGCAACAGATAAATGAAACAAGACGAACATGCGACACGCATTCAGCAGGCGCTGCTGTTAAGCCGCACAGGGTGACCCGGGCGAACAGAAAACGTAGCAAAAAGGACAGTACGCAGGCAGCTAAATTCAAAACAAATTGCATCGGTAAGCAAAACAGAAAAACGAAAAACGAAAACAAAAAGTAAACGTTTAAATCCCACATAAGTACATATTAGCACAAGAGTATGTAAAAATCCCATTTTAATAATAAATCAACATATGCTACTCCCCCTTCTTCTATATAGTATATACAGATATATATATATATATACAGTTTTTTTTTTGCATAGGCTAGTTAGTTCGGTACAAAAACAAAAACACATTTATTTACAGCTAAGCAAGAAGAAAAACTTTTTAATTCAAAACAAGTTGATTCAAAAGACGCAAGAAATATATTTAAAAAATAAAAACATACATATATATATATATATATATAAGAAAAAGAAAACCAAGTAAAATTCAATTTACATAATGTTAGAAATTTTATAAAATTGTAAATTATTAAAGCATAACCCACACATAAATCGAACTAAACAAATATATATAATATAATATATATATATATGTATTTATGGCAAGAAAAATCCCACAATATATAGCATAAATATATATGTAATTATTTTTTTTGAGGTTTTTTTTTTTTTTAAATTTAAAATGAAATGAAATTCGAACATAAAACAATGTCTAGCGCCTAAGTGTATTAGTCTTAAATGCCCCATGTAATGTATTTGCATTCGCAACTAAAAAACTAACAAACAAAAAAACTAAAATTAAAAAAAAAACCCCTCCCCCAGAATGATGTAATAGAGATTTCTATATAGATGTAACGTATATGTGTGTTAAGCAAGAGAATATTAATAAATGCACACATATATTTATGCATAGATACGTGAGCATGTGCATGTATGTGTGCGTGCATAAATATGCGTGTGCAGCAAACATATACAATATATATATATATATACTAATACGAATACTAAATAAATTTACATTAATCTACAACAATTACAGTTACCACACTAATTACAACAATTTAAATGTTAAAGAAACCAAGATCATAAAGTAAACAAAAGATATGTATATGTATGTATGCTCTGTACATGTTAAGACTTACACAACACTATGCTACTAGTGCTGTACAATTGCAAACAGCGACAAAAACAAAACAAAACAAAACAAATTACATTTCAATATATATGAGCAAAACAATGTTTAAGCAATTCATTCATAAATTGTCAAATGAGCAAAAAAACGTAAACGTAAAAACAACAAAAAATATAGTTAATATGCAACTAGCTAAACGTAGTTACAGGTACAGTTGCCACGCACACACATTAAGTTGGCACGAAACGCCCTGTGCTTGTTTTGTCCCAACAACAACAACAACAGTAACAGCAAATTCCTCTGCTAAACGCGACATGAGCTTAACAGACACTAACACACTTATTTTAACAGCAACTTAACATTTTTGCATTTTAATTCGATTTTGCATTTCATTTGTTTTTTAGTTCGTTTTAAGCCCCGACACCAGAGACACAAAAGCCTTTCGATATATATTTGAAGAAACAGTTTCATTTGATTTGTATTTAATAGAAATATATTGTATAAAAGCCAGGCACTAAGTAGTCTAACTGACCAAGTTAAACATTTACTAAATTAGTGCATTTACAACTATAATTCTTTCTTCTTCTATTTTTTTCGCTGGCCACAAACTTGCCGCAAAAAAATGTTAACAACAAAAAAAAGTTGTTTTCGCATCAGCAAAAAGTATTAAATATTTTATATACATTTTTTTTTCATATAATTATACATTTATATACATACTATATATATTTTTTTTAATTTAAATAACTTTTATACATCAGCTAATTTTTTTTGTTGTTGTGAAATTCGTTTGCATTTTGCACACAGAATCGAAAGAAAGGATCTCGAAAATCGCTAAAAAATACAAAAAAAAAAAAAAAAAAAGAATAAAACTATATTCAAATTTATTCGTCAGCGTGAATAAATGTGCTTTGCTTAAATCCCCCTAAAATTAGCACAGAAATCAAAAAACAACAGCAACAACAACAACAAAAGCAAAAACAAAATAAAACCACAATTAGTTTTAACACAATTTTAACTAAATGTAATCTGTCATCAATTACGATCGATTATTAAGCTAAACAAAAGTTTCTTATAAATAAGTTAAATATGATTTTGCATTGTTTTCCTAACACGTAAAATATTAAAATAAAATATACATATAAATAAAAAGACGAATTCAAAATAAAAAAAGAGACTACAAATCGTTTCCCACTTCCAGATATTACAACAATCCCATACCATAAAGGATCAGATCCCTGCAAAATGTGCACTGAAATGGTCCAAAAACATGCATGCTTTTTCTTTCAGTAGCCCTTTTACATTAGCTGCAGCTGCAGCTGCAGCTGTTGTTTAACAGCCGGCCTTACAGCACTCTTTTTACATGAACTGCTACTTAACAGTACTCATTTTGAATGAGTTACATTTCTGCCCCTTAATGCTATGCAATGAACATTTTCATTCGGATAACTCGTCGACCTTCTGGGCATTTCTGTTCGCCTGGTGTTTGAGTGAAATTTTAGTGCAAATTTCCGACCCAGCCGGCGACGGCGGCGCCCCGCCCCGTTCGGGTATGCAATGAAATTTTTCGGCCGCAAAAACATTTCTGTCGACCTTCTGGGCATTTCTGTTCGCCTGGTATTTTTGGGAAATTTTAGTAAAAATTTGGCACCCAGCCGGCGACGAGGGCGCCCCTTTCGGGTATGCAATGAAATTTTTCGGCAAATAAAAATATTTTTTATCGACCTTCTGGGCATTTCTGTTCGCCTGGTATTTTTGGGAAATTTGAAGAAAAATCTCGGCAGCCAGCGGCTGTCAACGTTCCTGATGGGTGGCAATGGATTTTTAACGACCGTTGGAAATCCTTGGAAATAAAAAAAACAGCAGGTTGTTTATTCAATTAAATAATTGATTTATTTATGTTTAAATTTATAAATTTATTGTTTTTTATGCTATCTTCGTAATTATTTCATTTAAAATTACACAGCATCGAGCATAAATTAGAATTTTAGCTTATTTAAACTTAAAATAAAGTCCGTTCCAGCAAAAATCTGCTCTGTCATTCGTGAAGGTCCTTAGAGCTCATTGCAGTCCTTAATTTGTCAGTCTGAAAAAATAAAAACACATTTGAATTAAACAAGGCAAAAAATATAGAAAGGCATTTTATGTAAAGAAAAAAGGACATAACTCGGTTATGTCCTTGCAGATTTTCAAAGGACATGGTGCGTTAGGATCGTATAGACACCCTGCATCGATCTGCATCATAAAAATGTGGGGTCATCTAAGAATCCCCAAGACTTGTAATTTGACTTGTAAAATTTCGGTCGCGAAGCGCACGGAAATGGGCTGAAAACACATTTCCTTGAATATTTCCTAAACTACAAGGACGATCTTAATGAAATTTGACCAGGTCGTAGTTCTGGCTAATACAATTCTTTTGATACGTGACTTGCAAGGATACGCAAGGATATAGCCGAGTTATGGCCTATTTTTAGTACACAAAATTGTCCTTAAAACTTTTTTGTCTAAAGGACTTTCGTCCTTTGAGTTGCACAGTTTTTAATGGGAGGGTGAGAACTATATGCTGGCCAAAGGACATCCCCATAGTCCTTCAAATGGCAAAGTTAGCCCGGAATTTTTCGATATTAGCTAATTTTGCGACTAACCCCCTAGGAAACATTTCGACGAAATTTTTTGTCGAATCCTGGAAATCCCTGAATGCAAATCGATAGTTGTGCTCACCACGAGTATAAAATGACATATCCTTCCGATATCCTTCAGGATTTGGCTGAGTTATGGTTAATTGAAAAATGTCCTTTTTAGAAAGTAAGCCATATATGGGAAACGGCAAGGACGATTT